CCATCAGCTTTCTTCACCACATTTGCTTATTCACCCGCTTTGTCTTCAGCGGTTGTGTCGGGAAGGTGAGCATCATGGAATGCCAATTTAATAGAAGAACATATTCTTGCATTGAGGGAGTACTTGAGTGGAGGCCCATAAGCATGTTCTTATCAGGCCGTATGCTGGCTTGGAGATAACAATGATTCACAGGTGTTCAAATGCGTTAGCCCTGAAGAGAAACAGGGATGCTCTCTAGAGCAGCAGTTCTCAACCTGTGGGTTGCAATCCCTTTGGGGTCAAACGACCCTTCCACAGGGGTTGCTGGATTCATAACAGTAGCAAAATTATGGTTATGAAGTAGCAATGAAAATACTTTTATGGTTGGGGGTCACCACAGCATGAGGAACTGTATGAAAGGGCCACGGCATGAGGAGGGCTGAGAAGCACTGCTCTCGAGAGATCCATGAGAGGCACTTGGGCGATCGGCGGTTTAGCTCAGCATAGATGGAGGTGGCTGAAGCAGGTGGTATCAGATACTATTGTGCCTTTGAGTTTGATTTTAAATTGCTTTCAGAATGTCCATGACAGTTTCATGTCTGTTCCTTGGTTTTTCTCTCGCCTCCATAGGCAAGAGTGTCTTGAACTTGGCTTATTACTTATCACAGTAGCCGAGGCCAGGGACAGCAGTGGTCTTCTCTTCCAGAGGGCAGTGCAGATGCCATGAGCCAAGAAAACCCAGGTGGTCCTCTGACTCATGCTGCAGACTCCCATCTACCTTGACTAGGTTCTGCTTCCTCCACAGTCCCCAGGTAGAGCTGCCCCCATACCTGGAGCATGTGAAACAGCAAGCCAATGAGGCGTTTGCCTGCCAGCAGTGGACCCAGGCAATCCAGCTTTACAGCAAGGCTGTGCAGAGGGCCCCTCACAGTGCCATGCTCTACGGGAACCGAGCTGCTGCCTACATGAAGCGCAAGTGGTGAGTGAGCGGAGCAGAGCGACCTCGGATGAAGTGACCAGACTGAAAGGCAGTGGGCCTGATACAGAAAGGTTGCTGATGCCTCCAGGGAGGGAAACTTTGGCACCCTACTGCCTCTCGGAGTTCCTTAGGCTCACCCAGGCCTCTCCTTCCTACCTCTACCTTGGGCCCGTGAATCAGGAAGTCACCAATACCAAGGAAGTTTACAGTTAAATAGAACAGAGGCATGTTCACAAGCAGTTCCAGTGCGGTCCTGTGGCCACCAGAGAAGGCAGGGTTGAGAGAACCATGACAGTCCAATGTAGGAAAAGTGGGCTTGAATGGAAGGAGCAGTAGCACCTCACTAGGGGGGAAATGAAGGGTGGTATTTGAGATGATTCTGCAACTCTTTGTGCCTGGGTTTGCTTTCCAGTGCTCTTACAGCCTTTGGACCAACACCCCCGCCCCCCAAGATCGCAGAGGTCGGAAGTGGATATGGGTCAAGTTAGGGTGTCATAGCTAGAGGTGAAGAAGTGGGTTCCTACCCTGAAGAGCCCCTCAACTTCTAAGGGTGTCAGGACCCCAGCCTTCTGCATAAAGTGGCAGCAGACAGGCAGGCCCCCATCCCCCAGACAGGGCCAGGACTGGAGATGGATAGAGCTGGGCCCACAGCCATTTCTGCTCCGTCTGGCTTCCGTTGGCTCTGCCCAGATAGACAGGACAGCTGGTGTGCCATCGTATGGCTATAACCAGGCAGGCCAAAGAGGGAAGCTTAAGCAACCCACCCAAGTCATCAGGGGTAGTGGGTGGGGCCTCAGGAAGATACTACCCCCACAGGCCTTCCCCCGGCATTAGGAGTTGGCCAAGGCCGAGGTGCAGCCAAACCCGGAGATGATTTCTTGGAGGCCATCTTGAAGCAGTTCACCTCTCTGTCCCCACCGTTGGGTGGGATGCAGTGGTCCACATGCAGACTGGCTAGCCTGCTAGCTCCGTGTCCCTCCTGTCCTTACAGGGAGGGGCTGATGATGTCCCAGTCCACGTGTGTCCCTGCTATGTGCTGGGACAAAAAGTCACTGGGTTTCTGGGCTTCTGTGCTCCAAAGCACCCAACCTCTGGACAGATCCACACAAAAGGCGCAAAGCAGGGTGTCCCGTGAGTGGTTCAGGTAGAGTGCTGTGGCCATCGGGGAAGGTTCTGTCCTGTTAGCTGGGGGTCAGCAGAGCCTCAGGAAGACGTGCTATCTGAATGGGCTCTGTATTTGAGCAGACTTAGTCCAGGAGACGGGGAAGGACATTCCAGGGATAGGAAGCAGAGGAACAAAGACTTGGGGGTGGGGGGCTGAGTGAAGAGCTTGTTTGCAGAACAACAGACCCATTTGGCTGGAGCAGGGTTCGGGAAGGGCCTGGCAGAAGATGAGTCTGGGAGGTAGCCTGGGGCCTGCCTGGGAAGGGCTTGGAATGCCGAGCGGTGGGGTTGGCCTCCATTCAGCGGATGATGGGCAGCTACTGAAGAGTTGTGAGCAGGGGCGGCTGTGACGCGGGCTGTCCTTTCAGGGAGATTAATCTGGCAGCCAGTCTAGGATGGGTGAGCCTCCGAGCCAGCCTGCTCTCTCACCATCCCCACATTCCTGCCAGTGACCCCTAGAATGTCACATTCTGTCCCAGGCCGCTCTCCCCAGGGCTGCCATCTGCTCCTAGGCACAGCAGGAGCTGTCACCCCTGGCTCCTGGCTGGTCTCTGCTTAACTCCCTCTCCCCAGGAGCTCCGAGGGGCACCTTGCAGCCAGTAATTGGGTTTCCAAGCAGGGCCTGCTCCTTCATCACAGCCACTCATTTTGACACAGACCACGCCAGCCCTCGAAGCCGGTCTGGTCCCCTGCCCCCATGCTGGCCGAGCTTCCGGTGCCTTGTGCCCTGTGAAGGCCTTTTGGCACTAGGGAGTGCTGCCTGGCCCCCTTGGGTCTTAGACCCATACCCCATACCCAGATGGGGGGTGGGGGGGGTAGAGAAACCAAGGAGCAAAAACTCAGCCTCCAGAGGAGAAGTGGATCCTGGGAGCGCCTGTCTCTCCAGATGAGAGGCTTGGGGCATGAGTGTCCTATATTTTGGCAGAGGCTGAGCAGAGGAGGGGCTTCTCTTTCAACTCCCTCCCTGTTTCCAACCCCCCCCCCCAGGAAAAACAGCCCCATTCCTCTCATCCATATGCTTCCGGAGGCCGGAGGAGTGGGGGTGGCTTGGATCTCCAGGCGCTCACAACCCCCCTTGCCATCAGCTTCCAGAGCCCTGACTCTGCCAGACATCAGGCCCCATCCTCTAGCCCCAGGAGGCAGAGGCCACAGCTGCTCGGGATCAGTCAGCCAGGACAGACGGGGGTCTGGCGAAGGCCTCGCTGCCTGCTGCTCAGACCCTGAGTTCCCAGCCTCGCACTTCTGGCTTCCCCAGACCACAGAACCGTCCTTGAGGGCCCCCTGCCATGGACATGGCTTTGAAGGCCAGCCGGGGTGGGGGTGGGGGGGATTTGAGGAGGTGGATGGAAGAAGAGGGAAGGCGGGCTTGGGGAGCCTGAGGTGGGCAGGATGCCAGGCCTTCTGCTGCAGAGCTGCGGGTGCCTGGGGTGAGTGGGTGCACAGTTGCACTCTCCCCAGCAGAGGGCATCCCAACACCTCCTTAACAGTCTCGGTCCTGGGGAGGGGCGGCGAGTCTAAGCCAGGATTCTCCCCATCTCTAAGTCCCTCCCAGACTTGTCCCATGGGCTGGGGGGCCCCAGGCAGGCTGGAAGACTGAGTGGGGACCCCTTGTTTGCCATGTTGCTGCCCCACCAAGCCGTGCCCCCTGCCTTCCCAGGGATGGTGACCACTACGATGCTCTGAGGGACTGCCTCAAGGCCATCTCCCTAAATCCATGCCATCTGAAGGCACACTTCCGCCTGGCCCGCTGCCTCTTTGAGCTCAAGTACGTGGCTGAGGCCCTGGAGTGCCTGGACGACTTCAAAGGGAAGTTCCCGGAGCAGGCCCACAGCAGTGCTTGCGACGCGCTGGGCCGCGACATCACCGCGGCCCTCTTCTCCAAGAGCGATGGTGGTGAGTGGGCAGTAAGGAGGGGTTGCTGTCACTCTGCTGCATGGCATTCTGGAGAGAAGCCGGAGTTCAGATGCTGATTCAGAACCACGTGCCCGAGACAGTCACGTGGTCTCTTCAAGACTCGCTTTGCTCACCTGAAAAGGAGACCCTGAGCCCCTCCCACTCAGAGCCTCGGTTGAGGCTCGGCAGTTACATAAGTAACGTGCCAGGTGCTCAGGAGAGGAGTCGACTGCAGCCAAGAGCCAGGTCCCGGGGGTTACAGTTAGGCCTTCGCATCTGCTCAGTGACAGACCCTGGGCCCTTCCGTTGGCCTCATGAGTCAGGGCCCCGCAGCCGGTTGCCCTGCTGCTTCCAGTTAGCACAGTGCCACCGAGGCACAGCCCAGAACAGTAGAAGGGCCTCAGGTGCAGGGTGCGGGGTGTGAGCCCGGGTCTATTGGCTGCTTTGGTGTGCCCGTGGGAGAAGCACAGCCTCTCCGAACTCACTGACTTGCCTGCACAAAGAGTCCTGAGTGTGTGCCCGCTCGACTCTGTAGTGTTGCAGAGCGCCTGGGTGAGTGCAGTGTCCTCTGTGGCAGACACGGTCCTCACCTCTCCCTGTGCAGTGTGCAAACCAGGTGATGATTCATTTGTTTAATGGAAAGTCATCAAGCCCCCGCCATGGGCCAAGCATCGGCTGGACTCTGGGACACAGCTGTGAACAAGAAAAAACTGTGACAAGCACTGTGGGACCTTGAGACTGGATAGGTGTATGGGGAGAGATGGATGGCCGTCTCCTCGTGGGAGAGACAGTTCCAATGGGACCTGAAGGATGAGGAAGAAGAGTTAACTAGACATGAAGTATAGCTGTGGGAGGGAGAGGTCCCAGCCTCAGGACCAGCAGGTACAAAGAAAGGCCCTGGGGCCGAAAGCAACAGGCACTTTGAAAGCAGAGAAAAATGGGTGAGATTTTTTCCACAAGTCATTTAACCCAACAGAATTGGGGCCCATGACAACCTGTCTTCCAAAAAGTAAGAGGTGGGACTTGAGTGCCCTAAGAACTCTAGCTCTTGTTAGAAACCCCCCACCCCCACCCCCCCAGTCAGGACTCTGCTTGCCTGCCCCTCCCTCCCTCCCTCCCTCCCTCGGAACAGAGCTTGAGCCTGGGCATCTGGGGCCTTTGAGACCGGTACTCCGGGACCATCAAAGGTCTCTTCTGGAGCATCTTCAAGGGCCAGAGCCAAAGATAACTCTCTCTGCCGCCTTTTCCTAGTTCTGTGGGGTAGGGTCGGTGTCAGGAAGCCCTGTTCGTGGTGGACTTGGGCTGGTAGGGACAGGGCTCTCATGGTTCCTTGATCTCTGCCCCCAGAAGAGAAGAAGGGAGCTGGTGGGGGCGGCCCAGTCCGCCTTCGCAGCACGAACCGCAAGGACTCCATCTCGGAGGATGAGATGGTGCTGAGGGAGCGAAGTTACGACTATCAGTTCCGCTACTGTGGCCACTGCAACACCACGACGGACATCAAGGAGGCCAACTTCTTTGGCAGGTCTGAGACCCTGGAGAGGGAGGGGCACAGCCCTATCCACAGCAGAGGGCGGTGGGGAGAGATGGCGTGGGGGTGGGGGGAATCATGCTTTTAGGAAAGTCTGCAAGCAGCCCAGCTTGCCTGTTTGCCCTTGGGCACAGAGCCCCCACTCTGCCGGCCTTGTGTCAGGCTCAGGGAAACGCAGTAAGCTGTACCCACCCGTGAGGCCACGAGAGCTGGTGCGAGGAAATGTCGGGGAGCACCCGGCACTGGGCCGGGGGTCCCTTCACCCCTGCCACCCTCCTCTGTCTCTGGTTTCTTCATCTGGGTGCTTGGTTTCCCAGTGCCAGCAATGTGAGGCATGAGCCCTTACTCCGGCCATTCTCAACCTGTGGGTCGAGACTCCTTTGGGGGTCGAACGACCCTTTCACACAGGTCGCCCGATTCATAACAGTAGCAAAATGACAGTGATGAAATAGCAACGAAAGTAATTTTGGGGTTGGGGGGTCACCACACCATGAGGAGCTGTATGAAAGGAGGTGGAAGCCTGGCGTGCCATATGTGCTCACAGCAGTGCCCGGGCCTTGAGAGGCAAAGCCCCTGTCCTAAAGATACTGCATACTCTTGGCGCAGAAGAGACGCGCCAGCGAATGAAGACCCTGCCTTCAGGCCCCTCCCTCCAGTGTCAGTCCAGGTGGGCAGAGTGCTGTGGGCGAGCACTTGTCAGAGAAGAGGCTCCTGAGAGCTGGGAACGAGCATACTTTAGGGACAGTATCTTGAGGGGACCCAAGTCGCCCAGACCCTGGGTTTCGGAGAACAGTAAGTGGGGCCCTGTGGAATTGTGCCGAAGGTGGAGACCCCGCTCCGCCATGTCTTGAGCCCAGCAGCGTGGGCTTGCAGCTCTAAGGGAGTGCCCCACCTGACCTCTCCCTGTTTCTGGCCCCTACCAGCAATGCTCAGTACATCATCAGTGGCTCTGACGATGGCTCCTTCTTCATCTGGGAAAAGGAGACCACCAATCTGGTGCGCGTGCTCCAAGGAGATGAGTCCATCGTCAACTGCCTGCAGCCGCACCCCAGCTACTGCTTCCTGGCCACCAGCGGCATTGACCCTGTTGTACGGCTTTGGAATCCCCGGCCGGAGGTGAGGATATAGGGGAAGTAGTCGAAGCCATGTAAGGAGGAGGGTAGAGCCTCTGTCAGGCCCCCGGCTGGATCTGTGAGAGCTGGGAAGGGGATGAGTCCAGCAGAGGCTGGACGCGGCTAAGACAATCGCTTTCACCCGGGAGCCCAAGGCTCCGTCAAGATGGGAGCCTTCAAGTTCTGGCTGCTCTGCCCTGCGGGAGCTTATCTCCCAGCTAGCTATGAAGATGAGACTGCTCCTCTTGGGATGCAGGCAGGCAGAGAAGGGAGCCAGAGCAGCCCCAGCATGGCCTCTGGACAGGGTCCCTCAGTGGACCCTGGGAATCCTCACACACACCCAGTGTGGGTCCCTTGAGGCTGCGCAGAGGACTGTCCCTCAGCCATAAGGACCGAGTGCAGGATTCGGAGTCTGGTGGTCTCCTTCACCTGGTTGCCCTGCCTGCGGGCTTTCTCTGCGGCGGTCTCTGGGCACGGGATGGCCGCACCACCTCCACAGGTGGCGTGAGGAGTGAGGCAGTGAAGCCAGTTGGGTACTGATCCCTCAGGGACACTCGGGATAGTGTGGTCCCTTCCAGTCCTGATATGTAGGCAAAGCCTCCAGTCCCTCCCCCTCCCCGCTTCTCAGCTGGGGAAACGCAAGTCAAATGGTGGACAGATGAGACCAGAGGTCACCTGGGCCCTACTGACCCTCTGTAGAGCGGAAGTTTCATGCAGAGAACTCTTGAAAGGAGTGGGTGGCGGAGGGGAGAGTGGCTGGATTTGAAAGTGGTGGCAGAGCAGAGTTGCCCGACCTCTCTATAGCCCTGGATGTACCCCAACAAATCCCGGGGGGTGTGCCCTCCTGTGTCCTGTTGTGTGTGCTGCCCCTCATCCATAGCCATATGTGGGTCCCCATACGTGTCCCTCTGTGTGGTACTCTAGCATGTCCCCTCCTGCACATCCCATCCGTGTCTGCTCCTGAGCTCGTGGCCCCGCCCACGCACTCCATCCCTCCTCGCCCTCCCCCAGAGCGAAGACCTCGCTGGCCGAGTTGTGGAAGACATGGAAGGCGCCTCTCAGGCCAACCAGCGGCGCATGAACGCCGACCCGCTGGAGGTGATGCTGCTCAACATGGGCTACCGGATCACGGGCCTGAGCAGTGGGGGCGCGGGGGCCTCCGACGACGAGGACAGCTCCGAGGGCCAGGTGCAGTGCCGGCCCAGCTAGGCCCGCCAGGTCCCGGTCCCCAACCCCTGCTGTGGCTGGAGCTCGGCCCTGGGCAGGAGGTCAGGGTGTTCTGTTTGGGTTTGTCTTCCCACCTACCCCGTTTTAGGTCTCCGTTTTGTTTGTTTCGTTTTCATTTCCCGTTTTGTTAGTTTGGCATTGGGGCTGGGAGGTTACTACAGCTCGCTGGCTCTCGAACTCTAGGGCTGATTTCCTCAGACTGTCGCCAGCCCATGTGGAAGTCCCACCCCTGCAGGCCCACCTCCTGCTTCCAGGACCCTGGAGGCCTCCTAGTCTCAGACCCCTCTGCTGCCCTGCCCCCAGGAGGCAGCAGGAAGGGGAGTGAATTTTCCTGTCTGGTAAGGGCTAGCCTTGACCTGGTGCCACTCTTCCTGGCCAGCGAGGCTTGTCCCCTGTGTCTTCAGGGACCGTTCTGAGAAGGGATGGGTCCCACCTTCCCTCAGGGCCACCAGTGTAGGGTGGGAGCAGAAGGCAGAGTGGGAGCCCCCGTGTGGGCCAGGCCTGGGGGTAGCAGAGCATCCTCCCCTGCCCCTATCCCCACCCCCACCCTCCAGCACTGACTCTGGGCCCTGCACCCGCTCTCACTGGCTCAGCCTGTCCTGCGGGCCTGGCCAAGTGGGCAGTGCACCATACCCCCACCCCACCGCCCTGCCACACTCCTGGGCGCTCCTCGGCCTCACTGTGAGCTCCGGCCAGGCCTGCTCTTGCGGAGGTGGCGGTCCCTGCCCTTCTGCCCTCCGCCCACCTTCTGCTGAGCCGCCACAAAGACCAAAGAAGTGATGGCTTCTCTCTCTGTCCCTGCTGCTCCCAGGGGAGGGCTGGGTCTCCAACTCAGCCCTTCCCTCCTCAGCAGCCCAAGCTTTACACTGGATGCAGCGCTCACCCCACCACGCACCAAGCCTCCCCTACCCTCAGCCCCCTGGGCGCTCCGCCGGCCATTCATCCTCCACCACCCCCACCTCCTCCTCACTTCCTCTTTCCAGCCCTCCAGCTGCAGCCTGGGGGAGAAGCAGCCTCTCTTCTTCCCGCCTCCCCCCACTCCCCCCCAGCCCCGTCTCTGCCAGGTGCCTCCTCTCAGTCAGGCCGCAGAGCAGCCCTGGAGACCTGAGGGCCAGGGAAAAGCTTTTTCACAGTTTTAAGAAGAAGGGGGCGGGGGTGAGAGTAGTGGTGGGGGGTCTGGCACCAACTCGTTATTGCTTTAATCCCAGCAACACAGGTGGCAGCTTCTCCCCCTCTCCACCACCACCCCCCCAGTCCCTCTTCCCCACCCGTTCTGCTCGCTCGCTAGCTCTCTCCTCGCTTGGTAATGAAGTATATTTATTGGTGAAGGAAACAGCTGCTGCTGCTGCTGCTCCTGCTGCTGGGACTTGCTCCCATGTCTCCTCTGTGACCTTTCTCTAGCCAGGCGGGGAGAGGGGGAGCAGTGGGGCTGGGGCCTGGGGCCCAGGGACCCGCCTGGAGCCACTGAGCTTTCCTGTGTACAAGCCACCTGCCATTCCCTCCGGCCTCCCACCCAGCCTGGGCCCTGCAGTGTGGAGAGACACACAAGCCTTACTGTCCTCTGGGGCAGGAGCCGAGCCTTTTGTTGCTCTGCTCCCAGGAGAGTGAGGGTGACGCAATTGATTAAAACCATTTTGTTCTAGGTGTGGCTGGTGGCATTTATGGGGTGCATTTAGGGGGACCAAAATGGAGGTACCTGACCTTGATGGTGCGTCTCTTCCCAGTCCAGCAGAGGCCCGCTGCCTTCTCACCTCTGTAGCTCTGGGACTTTGGGTCCACTTCTCCCTTTCCCTCTCCAGGGGAGAAGGAGGTCGGCCGGCCGGTAGCATCACTGTGCACAGTGGCCACCCGGGCCCAGGGCCAGGCCCAGCACTGGTGGCTTGATTGGCAATAATCAACCTTCATTTGGTAGGCCTGTTTTCTTGTCTGTAAAATAAGAGGGTTACAATCTCAGTGGTTTTTCAAAAAGTTTTGGTCTGAACCCAGGCAAGAAATACACATTTTACATTGTGAACCAAGATATGCATACTTATTTGTATGTACATAGTAGACAGAAATTTTACACAGTATTACTTCATTCTTATTATGTACTCTTTAGCCATCTATTCTATTAGCAGGAGAAACCCTGGTTGTGACCTACTTCAGTTTGACATGCCCTGGGATAGAGGCTCCTTAGTGTCTCAGGGATTCTTCATGGAGCCTTGAGCCAGAAGAAATGCTTCACAGCTCCATGTATTACACAGTTAGATCCAAACCACTGGTGAGTATCTATGTCCTCACAAGGTAATTACCTGGAAAAATAATACACTTAAACTGAGAGGAACAATATTTTTATTTTGTTCTCAGATAAGCCCAGTTTCTTACTCACTGGGCTGTGTACCTGTTTACCCTGCACAGTTTCCCAGTCTGTACGGTCAGGTTGGACGCTCACAGCCTCATTTCCTGTCCCACGTTGACTTTCACTTGCTTGTCACAATCACTGCTGAAAGCCCACCTTCCCAAAGATGATGTAATCTAAAGGGATGTAGTGCCATCTAATGGTGAGACCCGACTACCGAGAGTGAGTAGTTCTCTCAGGAGTCAGCAAGCAGTGAGCCTCTCCCATATCCAATAGTTGCTGTGCTCCCTGGACACTATGGTGTCTTGGTACCCAGTGTGGGAGACCTGGCCCAGATCAGGGTTCAGTGCCGTTTCACTGCTGAAACCTGCGGCTTCTGTTGGTCCCTGTGGAGAAAGCGAGGTTGGGTGGGAGGGTGTGTGAGATGGGAGCCAATGAAAAGAGGCTCTGCCAGACGCACAGTAGGTGGTGGTGTGAAGCTGATGCTGTGTGGCTCATCTGTGTTCCCAAACTGACATTGGAAAAAGCTGCTTAAGAAATTCCCAGACCACGCGTGCGCAATCAAGGGACCTTATTCTGGGACAAGCAGGTGGTGTGTGCAAAGTCCCAGAATCCCACCAGGAGCTCTGCGTGAGTGACCCAAGGTGGCTGAGCTGTTGAGGGCCTGTGGCCATAGGAAGACAGCCCAGGGGTGTGTTTGGAGTTGAGGCTCCGTTTTCTTCCTGTTTTTCATAGACTTTAAAAGTAGCTTTAGGTTTTCAGAAAATTGAGCAGAAAAGAAGAGTTCTCATAAAATCCCCTCTTTCCCTCTCACAGTTCCCGCTCACATATCACCATCTTGGATAAAAACCAAGAACCCATTGCTGTCAAGTTGATTCCGACTCACAGTGACCCTCTAGGACAGAGGAGACGTGCCCACGGGGTTTCCAAGGCTGCCATTGTAACCACCTGTAACTGCCATGCTACCAGGCCTGCTTGATGGCTGCATAGTATAATATACTTGTTACAATGTATACTTGCATAATGTAGTATATTTGTTACAATTAATGAGTTGATATTGATACATTATTACTAACTAAAGTCCACAGCTTACATCAGGACTCGCCCTTTGACAGTTGTGTGGTTTGACAAATGCATATGTCCACCACTGCAGTGTCGTACTGAACAGTTTCGCTGACCTGAAGAGGCTCTGTCTCCACCTAGTCATTCTTCCATTAGCACCCTCCCCCTCCAAAAAACAATAGTACTTAGGAATGAATCCTACAAAATGTGTACATGGTATCGGAGGGAAACAACCATGGTGGAGGAAATCAAAGGAAAAATCGTTTTATGCTCATGGATAGAAAGACTCGATGTATCCATGAAACGTCAGTGACTCCGATCGGACCAACGCGGCCATTGGAAGACTTCCCTTTTACTTGGAGCTGCAGCTCCTTGCCACCTTTCTTTATCCCCAATCAAAATGCCAGCAACTTACTTTGAAGCTAACTCATCCTAAAGTTTACAGAAATTAAAAGATGTCGAATCGTCGACACAATACTGAAGAACAGAGTGGAAGACTGGCACCGTCTGACTTTAGTACCGGCTCCACAGCTGCAGTCATTGAGACAGTGTGGTATTGGCGGGAGAATAGTCAAATAGATCTCAGGAGAACAGGGTCAAGGAAGAGCCCAGGGACAGAGTCATAAGGATATAGCCAGCTGGCCTTTGAGAGGGGCAAGAGCAGTCCACTGAAGAAAGAATCCAGTTGGGCTACTACACAGTCACAGGCAGAAGGCGAAGCTGGACACTGTTCTTACCATTTGTGACGGTTAACTCAAAATGACCTCGAGACCTAAATGTAAAGCTGAAAATTATAAACTACAAAATCATAGTACACGAGAAAATCTAGATGACCATGAGTTTCTTGGTAAAGCACCAAGAAGAAAATTCAACAAATTGGGCTTTGTTAAATTAAAAGCTCCTTCAAAGCAAAAAGACTCAGTTGGGAGAGCAAAGACAAGACACAGACCAGGAAAAGTATATACACGAAGCCGGCTGAGAAAGGACTTGCTTCGAAAACCGACCAGTAGAAGAGGTTTTAAAACTTTTAAAATTGAACATAAGAAAATAGCCCAATTTTCAAATGAGCCAATTCTCTGAGCAGATACTTTTATCAAAGATAGGAAGTAAACACAAGTCACATGCGTGATATATGTTGTTAGGTAATCGCGATTGAAAACAAGATACCACTGCACACCCAACCCGTGTGGGTGAGAACGCCACACTGAACAGTGCTCATGCTGACAAAGATGTGGAGGAACAGGAACTCATTACTGGTGGCAATGCAAACTGTGACGGTCATATTGAAAGGCAACAGTTTCTTAAAGAGTCTGCCAAGGTTTTACCGTGTGATCCAGCAGTTGCCCCTCTAGGTCCTTATACCAAACCAAACCCACTGCCGTCTAGTGGATTCCCATGCACCGGGACCCTGAAACAGATAGGCAGAGTAGACCTGCTCCAGAGGGCTTCCACGGCTGCAGATTGTTACGGAACCCAGACAATACAACCAACTGCCATCGCGTCCGTTGTTGCCCCAGTGGGAGTCGGACGCCCAGTCTTTGGCCTGTGGAGCTGCTGGTGGTTTCAAACTGCCAGCCCCGTGGACCGCAGCCCCGCATGTAAGCACTGCTGACCAGGCTCCGACAGAACCAGGCTGCGTACTTCTCCTGTAGAATGGCTGGGGGAAACGGTACCACCGGCCTTTCAGTCAGCAGCCCTGCACTTAACCCATTGCATCACCAGGGCTGCTGGGGTTTCCCAGGCTTGAAAAATTAGTCCCTGCAAAGAGCTGTGCAGGAATATTTATAGCAGCTATTCAGTATTGACAAACATGAGGAATAAGGTGTCCTTCAAAAGAGGAACGAATAATCTGATACAAACAATAGGATGTTATTTAGTGATAAAAAGCAGTGAGCTATCAAGTATACCCGTGAATGTGGTGGAGCATGTGAGATAACGTAGACGTAATCAAACACTCGAAGGGAGCAAGCTGCTGGGCCTGGGCATCAGGACCATCGTCTCGGGGGACTCCAACATCAATTGGCATGACATAGCTCACAAACAATGCTTCTCATAAGTTCCCAAACGTATTTGGCCTATCACCCCCATTTCAGAAAAAAACTCAGTGCCCCCTGACAATTAAAAACCTTTGTATCATAACCCATAGTAGAGGATAAAGTGCAGGTATCTGCTTCTGCAGTCCCGCTAGATGATTCCAGCAGCTCCCGGGGGGCCAGACAGCCCACTTTGGGAAACACCTAAAGGTAGAACCAGATCCTAATTTGATGATTCCCAACCAGGGTCATAGGGGCTCACCTGCAGCCACCATCTAAGGTGCAAATACTGGTCTCTCCGCCGGAGCAAAGTACACTCCGAAGACTGCCTTTAAAGCAATGAGACCACGTAACATCAGTCTCAACCCTGAGACCAGGACTAGGTGGTGCCCTGCCTACCACTACCAACTGCTCCGAAAAGGACCACATTGGAAGGTCCTGCATAGACTGCGAGAAAAATGTGGAACAGAAAGACATTTTCGGATTAAAGAAACCAAGCTTACTGGTCGGATGGAAACTGGTGCAACGCTGTTCAAGTCTGGAACTTCTGTCTGAGTGAGAATAATCATTTAAGCTCAAAAGGGCAGCACTTACGCAAGGACAGAGTTTGGAGAGCTGGGAAAGGAGGAGGAATGGCAACAGGGAGGATGTTGGGTAAGTGATGATGGATTGAGTTGAGTCAGAATGTGTGAATTGTTGAAGGTAGAACTACCTTTTGCCCTGTAAACCTTCACCTGATTCATTCACAATAGCAAGTTAAGTGGGGAGGCGGGGGATTGAGCTTCCAAGTCATGAAGACAAGACAGTAAGTTCATATTTATTAGTGAAAGAAGCCAGTCTGAATAGCCTACATACGCTATGACTCCAACTACCTAATATTCTGGAAACGACACAACTGTAGAAAGTGTTTGTTTGTTTTTAATGGTGCTCCATTTTTAAAACCCTCACCTGTGGGTTTTAAACACTTAGCCAGCGTTCTCACCAAGCCTTCACAGGGATGTGTAGCAAACCACACATTAGAACTTGGGACCTGCCTGTTTGTGGTGGGCAAGCGTGGCCTCGGTGGGCTATCTGCCTGTCTCTGTGAGAGAGCGGCCAGAGTGCACGACGTGCAGAGCTGAAAAGACCAGGGGATCTTGGTGCTCAGAGGGTCTCCACGCTGGTTGTGCTCTTTTGACATTGTCGAGACCCACCACCCCCCATGAGAGA